TATTGCTTTTGAGAAACAGTACGTGTTTGTTCTGCTGACATCTCGCTACTCCAATTTTCAACGTTTATGTTTCTTGTTTATCGGCTGTGGAGAAGGTAGGGATATAATTATAATACACTTACAGTACAGTGGATTTCCAGACATGGCGGTGGAGGATTCCTTCCCGTCCTAGCCTTTATTATAGTATGTACATTATATATAAATAAACCGTAATATCTCCATTTATTTTTCCCTTCTTAACCTCTTTATTTATAATTACCATACAGATATATCATATAGGTGGAAACCAATTTATTTGGAACACTGAGGTTCCTTTTTGGCGGCTTAAAAGATCGCCTACCTGAAGGACTTATTTGAATACCCATAATCGATTCTTCTCAGTGTTGTTTAAACCTCCATGAAATAAACACATTTCTTCTGACATTTGTGTACGTGCGAGAGAGATAAAAAAAGAGTTTCAAATTGGCTGGATATTAAAGACTGGCTTCCCAGTATTAATTAATATCAAAGTTTATCAATTCTATCATAATCCTCCGACACGCGAAAAAATGTTAACCCATCTAGAGAGTGTCTTGCCTTTCTCAGAACTAAAGATTTATAAATATCCGTACAGCTCCTTCCTTTATCGAAAAAAAGACGATGACAACTTCTTTTTTGATCTACAGGTAAATGCTTCAGGCCAGAAAAAGGAATTATTACTATAATCATTATCATTATCAACTTGAGTACCTATTCTCATCCTTATTTGCATAGTTGTCATCGCTTTCGCCATAATCATTATCATCATCACTATCATCATAATGGTTATGATCATTATCATGAACATTATTTCAATGATTATCATCATTAACATCATCATTATTATTATTGTTGTTGCAGTAGTACTATTATTATTATTACTATCATTATCATCATTATTATCATCATCATCATTATTATTATCATTTTTATCATTATTGTTATTACTATCCTTTTTATCATTATTATTATTATTACTACTATTATTATAATTATTTTTGTTATTATTATTGTTATTATTATTATCATTATTATTATTATCATTATTATTATTATTATTATTATTACTATTATTATTATTATTATCATTATTATCATTTTTTGTCATTATCATTATCATTATTATCATTATTATCATCACCGTCACCATCAACACCATCATCATCACCGTCATCATTATCATCATCATCATCACCATCAATATTTAGGCTATTATTATTGTTGATATTGTTGTTATTATTATTATTATTATTATTATTATTATTATTATTATTATTATTATTATTATTATTATTATTATTATTATTATTATTATTATTATTACTATTATTATCATTATTATCATCATCAATTTTATTACTATCAATATCATTATCATTACTATCATTATTATTATCATTATCACTATCATCATTACCATTATCATTATCGTTATGATTATTATAATTATTATTATTATTATTATTATCATTATTATTATTATTATTATTATTATTATTACCATCATTATTATTATCATTATTATTATTATTATTATTATTATTATTATTATTATTATTATTATTACCATTATTATCATCATTATTATTACTATTATTATTATTATCATCATTATCTTAATTCTTATTATTATTATTATCATTATTATTATTATTATTATTATCATTATTATTATCATTATCATTATCATTATTATCATTACATTTACCATCGTTATCAACATCATCATTGCCATTTTTTTATCAGTATCATCATTATTATCATCGATATTATTATCATTACTGTTATCATTATTATTGTTGTTGTTGTTGTTATAATTATCATTATTGTTATTATCATTACTATTATTATCATCATCATTATCATTAACAGTATTATGTACTATTATAATCATTATTGTAATTATCATTTTTGTTATTGTTATTATTGTTATTACTATTATTGTTACTGTTTTTGTTGTTATTGTTATTGTTATTATTATCTTTTCCTCGTAACCATACCTAAAAATACCTCACACTTTTCGTCCAATATCGACTATTACCAACAAAATCGACCGCTATACACCCCGACTCAGAAAGGCAGATTGCAAAAGTTTTAATCTTCATTCCAGAAAATTTTCGCCTTTTTTTTTCTTCTCTCTCTCTCCCTCCCTCCCTCTCTCTCTCTCTCTCCATTTTATCCACTTTTTTCTCGAGATTATTTTCAGCTTTATTACCTGCCAATCATAATCATGCCCTGTCCCCTTCCCCCTCCCTCCCCTCCCCTCCCCTCCCCCCGTGACCCTCCTTCCCTTATTTATCTGCGGAATTTTACAATCTGGAGAAAGTGTGAATTTTTAGGCTATTTTTTTCTTTTGTTCCTACATTCTCTCTCCTTCTTTCTTTCTTTCTTTCTTTCTTTCTTTCTCTTCCTTTCTTTCTTTTTCTTTCTCTCTCTCTCTCTTTCTCTCTCTCTCTCTCTCTCTCTCTCTCTCTCTCTCTTATACATAGATGTGTATAAGCCATTAAAAGATTTAAAAAGGCAGAAAAGGAATGAAATACCATAAAGTATGTGGTACCATCATAACTTTTGAAACGTAGGAGTCCAATCAATGATGTAAATGTTTGAAAAGCTGCTTAGCGGATTCTTGGAAAGACAAAAAAAGCGGCAAAAGACAGGACAAAAACGTTGGAAACACTGGCCGTACCGTTATTGTCATTACCGATCTCTCTCTCTCTCTCTCTCTCTCTCTTTGTCTATTACTCCTTCCCTCGCCTCTCTCTCTCTCTCTCTCTCTCTCTCTCTCTCTCTCTCTCTCTCTCTCTCTCTCTCTCTCTCTCTCTCTCTCTCTCTCTCTCTCTCTCTCTCTCTCTCTCATTATTATAGCAATGAATTATTCAACAATTGAAAAATATTTCAACATTCACATCACATGCACTCAAACTAATTACTCAAGACATGCGAGTTAAGGACGTGGGACAGTACTGTTCCTGTCGAACAAGTTTCGAACCCCCTTAGTGCTTCAGTCAATGCTTCGAAGCTTCACTCACGGCAAGATTTTTGTCGTCGTCAGATTGCTTATCAAAAAAGCTCATGTTCTTTATTCATTAATTCATTTATTTATTTATTCACAAACTTCAAGGAAACTTCTGACACAATTTGGAACGAAGCAATTGGGAAAATAAGAACAATGAACGGACTCAAAGGCAATTAACACCACAAAGATCTCATTCATTGCAATGTGGAGAAGTAACTGACGGTCAGTTAACTGTTCGCTGAGATCCCTTTTGTCACCAGTCCTTTTGAACACCTTTCTGGAATTTATAATGAAGAAATCACGAAGTCTGGACTAAAGGAAACCTCAAGGGACATTTCATTAGCATTTAATATATCAATCTCATCTCAACGTATTACTTTCATCTCAGCGTTTGAGGAGGAAAGGGTGATGCAAACACTGGAAGAATGGTGTAAGAATAGGGAATGGATTGAAACGGAAACAAGTGCAAGTTTACATGAAGATCAGTGAGAGAGAGAGAGAGAGAGAGAGAGAGAGAGAGAGAGAGAGAGAGAGAGAGAGAGAGAGAGAGAAACAGAGAGAGAGAAACATAGAGAGAGAGAGAAACAGAGAAAGAGAGAGAGAGAAACAGAGAAAGAGAGAGAGAGAAACAGAGAAAGAGAGAGAGAGAAACAGAGAAAGAAAGAGAGAGAGAGAGAACATGCAATGAATATGAAGAAAAAAGTCAGAGAATTCATCGTTCCATGAAGCCCATAACCTTGAGGACTCAATGATAACCAAGCGGTCCAAAACATCGAGTTGATACATTAATTTGGAAAAATTAGAAGGTTCCAGGATTTTACAGTATTTTCTTTTTTTCTTTCTTTTTTTATTTCTTTTTATCTTAAAACCATTACACGATATAACCATCACTAACAGATTCGGAAACGTGGATATCATAAGGGGTTCTGGAATAAGACTATCATCACACTGAATATCGAAGAGAAGAGAAGATGCCACCAGATTCTGGACACGTCATTAGTCCGTCAAGCTACTGATGTAAATTTTGTTAATGCCAAACCTAGCAAGTCTATAGGAGATAAGGGATAAGACAAAAAGAGACTGGAGTGAAATCAAAAGGAAAACTATAGACGACATGGCGAAAATTTGTCTGGATAAAAAATCGAGGATGATGATATGGCGAAAATTTCTCTGGATAAAAAAAAATAGAGAATGACGATATGGCGAAAAATTTCTCTGGATAAAAAAAAATCGAGAATGACGATATAGAAAAAAATAGATGAAAAAGTTGAGAAAATCAGAAAGAAACGATACCTAAAGAACAAAAAAAAATAAACAAACTATAGATCTGGCGCTGACGAGAAGAATCGAACCCAAAAGAACGATCCAAGAGCCTTAAGAGAAGAATCAATAGTTGATTATTCTTATCCTTTTGATGTAGCTTTGTCCCATTCTTATAGGGGGTCGCTATAATTAGGTTCAGCTGGCTTGCTCACCCAGTGGCTAGGTTAGTTGTTGATTATTATGATCCTAAGAAAAGGCAAAAGACAGGAATGAAAGTAAACTGATTCGAAAACAGAGTTTAAATGAATAAAGAAGTATATAAATAAAAACTACGATTGACGGACATGAGTAATTGTAAGAACCTTTGACGGAAGTTCAAGTTGTCCTAGTAGTTAATGGGACTTTTTAACTTTGATGAATTATCCGATCATTATTAGTAACATTAGGGAGAGAAAGCTTGTTATTATGCCTGCTTTATTCGCCTATGTGTCTATGTATCGCCTTATTTCCATCGTATCTGGCTGTAGATTTTCTCATGCTTTTAAAATGTCTATCTTTATTCTTTCTATTGCTCTTTACTTCCCTGCTTGTAAGCCATCTTATCTACCTACTTCCATGTCTAATTAATTATTTTCCTTGTCTACATGCTTGTTAATTTAATTTGCAATTTGTATATATCTGCTTGCAAAACAAACGAAGTGTCTTCAACCAAAAAAATCTATTCAAAGAAAATATATACATAACTCCATCCACCAACAAGAACGTCTTACCTTATTATTACTTAATAACAATAATGATAATGATGATAATAATATTAATAATGACAATAACAGTAATAATAATCTATATTTCCCACTTCAAAACGTACATCCAACATGTACATTTTTCAAAAAATACATTCGACCCAGAAACAAAATTAAGAAAAATCCTCCTTTCACAGAAACCCGGTCGTTCAGCCCTTGCTAGAGTTTATTCAAGGACCAGTTGTAGAAGAACTCGACCTTGGGACCAGCTGAGCCTCCAGTTGCCATCAGAGTGTCGAGGGCCAGCTGCTCCTTCTCCTCCAGGTACGTCCTGATCCATCTGAGGAGGAAAGGGATGCTTTAGGTGGTGGGAAGGAGGGAAGGAGGGGGGGGGGGATAAGGGAGGGTGGGAGGGAGAGAGGGAGGAAGGAAGGAATGAAGGAGGGAGGGAGGGAGGGAGGGAGGAAGGGAGGGAGGAAGGGAGGGAGGGAGGGAGGGAGGGAGGGAGGGAGGGAGGGAGGGAGGGAGGGAGGCAGGACCGGTCAAATACATCTCTTGCTCTGTGAAGATATTCATTCTCATTCATCTGATGATGGTGAGGATGAGGATGATGATGATGATGATGATGATGATGATGATGATGATGATGATGGAAAGAGAGATGGAGAGATGAAGAGAGAGAGAGAGAGAGAGAGAGAGAGAGAGAGAGAGAGAGAGAGAGAGAGAGAGAGAGAGAGAGAGAGACTGTCTTGCAGTTTGATATGCCAAGAATAATTGAAGTTTAATCTTGATGACTACCTGAGCAATTTATTATAATGCTGGTAAATCTTCATAACGTATGTAATTAATCACCAGATCTTCTCCATGTGTCTGGAGGAGAAAACGGCAAAAACTGAGAGACAGGCAACTTCTCTCTCTCACTCTGTCTTTCTCTCTTTCTCTCTCCGTTTCTCTCTCTCTCTCTCTCTTTGTCTCCCTCTCTCTCTCTCTCTCTCTATCTATCTATCTATCTATCTATCTATCTATCTATCTATCTATCTCTATCTCTCTATCTCTCTATCTCTCTATCTCTCTATCTCTATCTCTCTCTCTCTCTCTCTCTCTCTCTCTCTCTCTCTCTCTCTATTTCACTCTCTATCTCTCTCTATCTCTATCTCTCTCTATCTCTATTTCTCTCTATCTCTATCTCTATCTCTCTCTCTCTATCTTTCTCTCTATCTCTCTCTATCTCTCTCTATCTCTATCTCTATCTCTCTCTATCTCTATCTCTCTCTATCTCTATCTCTCTCTATCTCTATCTCTCTCTATCTCTCTCTATCTCTCTCTATCTCTCTCTATCTCTCTCTATCTCTATCTCTCTCTCTCTCTATCTCTCTCTATCTCTATCTCTCTCTATCGCTATCTCTATCTATCTCTATATCTCTCTATCTCTCTCTATCTCTACCTCTCTCTATCTCTCTCTCTATCTCTATCTCTTTCTATCTCTATCTCTCTCTATCTCTATCTCTATTTCTATCTCTCTCTATCTCTATCTCTCTCTATCTCTGTCTCTATCTCTATCTTTCTCTATCTCTATCTCTATATCTCTCTATCTCTATCTCTCTCTATCTCTGTCTATCTCTATCTCTCTCTCTATCTCTATCTCTCTCTATCACTATCTCTCTCTATCTCTATCTCTCTCTATCTCTCTCTATCTCTATCTCTATCTCTCTCTATCTCTCTCTATCTCTCTCTCTCTATCTCTATCTATCTCTCTCTATCTCTATCTCTCTCTATCTCTATCTCTCTCTATATCTATCTCTATCTCTCTCTATCTCTCTCTATCTCTATCTCTATCTTTCTCCATCTCTATCTCTCTCTAGAGAAAACGGCAAAAACTGAGAGAGAGACAACTTCTCTCTCTTACTCTGTCTTTCTCTCTCTCTCTGTTTCTCTCTCTCTCTCTTTATTTGTCTCCCTCTCTCTCTCTCTCTCTCTCTCTCTCTCTCTCTCTCTCTCTCTCTCTCTCTCTCTCTCTCTCTATCTATCTATCTATCTATCTCTATCTCTATCTCTCTCTCTCTCTCTATCTCTCTCTCTCTCTCTCTCTCTCTCTCTCTATTTCACTCTCTATCTCTCTCTCTATCTCTCTCTATCTCTATCTCTCTATCTCTATTTCTCTCTATCTCTCTCTCTCTATCTTTCTCTCTCTATCTCTCTCTATCTATCTCTATCTATCTCTATCTCTCTCTATCTCTATCTCTATCTATCTCTATCTCTATCTCTATCTATCTCTCTCTATCTCTCTCTCTATCTATCTCTCTCTCTATCTCTCTCTATCTCTATCTCTATCTCTATCTATCTCTACCTCTCTCTATCTCTATCTCTATCTCGCTCTATCTCTCTCTCTATCTCTCTCTATCTCTCTCTATCTCTCTCTATCTCTATCTCTCTCAATCTCTATCTCTCTATCTCTATCTCTATCTCTCTCTATCTCTCTCTATCTCTACCTCTCTCTATCTCTCTATCTCTATCTCTATCTCTCTCTATCTCTATTTCTATCTCTCTCTATCTCTATCTCTCTATCTCTATCTCTATCTTTCTCTATCTCTATCTCTATCTCTCTCTATCTCTATCTCTATCTCTCTCTATCTCTCTATCTCTATCTCTCTCTATCTCTATCTCTCTCTATCTCTCTCTATCTCTATCTCTATCTATCTCTATCTCTATCTATCTCTATCTCTATCTATCTCTATCTATCTCTATCTCTATCTCTATCTCTCTCTATCTCTCTCTCTATCTCTATCTCTATCTCTCTCTATCTCTCTCTATCTCTCTCTATCTCTATCTCTCTATCTCTATCTCTCTCTATCTCTATCTCTATCTCTATCTCTCTCTATCTCTCTCTATCTCTCTCTATCTCTATCTCTCTCTATCTCTATCTCTATCTCTCTCTATCTCTATCTCTCTCTATCTCTATCTCTCTCTATCTCTCTCTATCTCTCTCTATCTATCTCTATCTCTATCTCTCTCTATCTCTATATCTCTCTATATCTCTATCTCTCTCTATCTATCTCTCTCTATCTCTATCTCTATCTTTCTCTATCTCTATCTCTATCTATCTCTATCTCTATCTCTCTCTATCTCTATCTCTATCTCTCTCTATATTTATCTCTATCTCTCTCTATCTCTATCTCTCTCTATCTCTATCTCTCTCTATCTCTATCTCTCTCTATCTCTATCTCTCTCTATCTCTCTCTATCTCTCTCTATCTCTCTCTATCTCTATCTCTATCTATCTCTATCTCTCTCTATCTCTATCTCTATCTCTCTCTATCTCTATCTCTATCTATCTCTATCCCTCTGTCTTTCTATCTCTCTGTCTTTCAACCTCTCTGTCTTTCTCTGTCTTTCTCTCTCTGTCTTTCTCTCTCTGTCTTTCTCTCTCTGTCTTTCTATCTCTGTCTTTCTCTCTCTCTTTGTCTCTCTTCTACTTCTCTCTCTCTCTCTCATCGCAATGATGTCACACATCAACCTTGCAATGACGTCCAGATATGCGATTTCAGAAAATAAATATTAATGAAGCTTTGGCTTTGCTTAATCAGGTCTAAATAATGTATCGAGGCGCTCTTAAGACCTAGCGCAATATTAATCACATTCATATTCAGTAATATGCAAGGTAATATAATTTTTTTTTTTCTGTGAATTATGAGACAAAGAAGGGTCGAAAAGCGCATTCCGTGATGTATGACTCGCAGTTGTTGTTCTGCTAGTGATAGTAGTAGAAATAGTGGAAGTAATAGGAATAATAGTGGTGGTAATAATAGCAGTAGTACTAGTTGCAGAAGCAGTAGTGAAAGTAGCAGAAGCAGCTGTATAAGGTAGTAATAGCAGCATAAAAAAACAGTACTAGCAATGGTACAAGTAATAATACCAGTAGAAGAAATAGCAATAGCAATAGTAGTAGCTATTAGAAGCCGTACTAGTAAAAGCAGCGGTACACATCCACGCCATTCTTTCTCTCTCTTTCTCTCTCTCTCCTCCAGCATAAGTAGCAGATGTCCTCCGCCTGCTTCCGTCGCTCGCCTACTCACTCATTCATGAAGCAGGCGGAGGGTCGTTAAATATTAGTCGTTGGAATTAATATAAAGTGACTCGGGGAGGGAAGGAGGGGGGGGGGGGAAGGAGAGGAAAAGGGAGGGATGATGATGCTGATAAGGATTAAGATGATGACGATGACGTTGGTGATGGCGATGGCGATGATGATGATGATGATGATGATGATGATGATGATGATGATGATGATGATGATGATGATAATGATAATGATAATGATAATGATAATGATAATGATAATGATGATGGCGATGGTGATGACGATGATGATGATGATAATGATAAGGATAATGATGGCGATGGCGATGGTGAAGACGAGGGCAATGACAATCATGAAATAATCATAATTATAACGATGATGACGATGGCTAAGATGAAGAAGATTAAGAAAATTTTCGTCTCTGAAGAGTATATCCTGCTATAAATATTAGGCACTGGGAACGAATGGATAAGGCTTTAATGGCGACAGAAGCTTCATATTCAGGCAAGGATGCATCGCTTAAAAATAATCTAAACGCTTCAATAACGTGCGAGCGAGAAAATATATGATGGAAGAAAATACCAAATATCATTCAAATAAATCATTAAAAAAATACATGAAAAACGTAAAAAAGAAAATTAAATAAATAAAAAATGATAAAATATAAGAAACGAATGATATTTTTTTTTCTTTTTTTTTCTTTTTTTCCTTTACAAAATCCCAACCACCGACCTCAGCATCCCCATCTGGTCGGGAGCGAAGTCATCTCGATACCAGCTGAGGATCTCGGGCAGCCTCACCACCTCGTCCTCGACTTTCACTTCCTGGGTCAAGTAGGACCTCGTAGCACCCTCGAGAGCCACTTCCAAGTTGTTGCTGCTGTAGACGCGGACCATCGGGCAGGACTGTGGGCGGTTGCGTTTGAATTTTTGAATTTGGTTGAAGGGGAGTTATTTTTTATTTTTGGGTTGAATAATATGGATATATTTGCTTAATTAGGTTTGAATTTATATATATTTTTTTTATCGTAATGCATTTAAGACCTAGATTAGTATTAATCAAATCCTTATTCTGTAATGTTCAATGTAATGTTCAACTTAATCAGGTTTGATTTTTTTATCGTAGTGCATTTAAGACCTAGATTAGTATTAAATCAAATCCATATTCTGTAATGTTCAATGTGTGATTTATATGACAAAGAAGGGTCGATAAGCGCATTACGATGTCCGTAATTCCTTCCTTGCCTTGTAATTTATATAAGTTTGTAATTTATATAAGTTTGTAATTTATATAAGTTTGCCCGTCTTAATACGTGACTCTTAATATAGGTTTATATTCTTTACCTAATATTGACACTTCTTCCTTCCCTTCCCTCTTTTCTACCATCTTTCTCTCCCCCCCCCTTTTTCCAACCCTTCTTCCTTTTACCCTCATCCTTACCCCATTTCCCTTGCCCTTACCTTCCTTCCTTTTCTTTTCCTCTTCTCCCCCTTCCTCTCCTTCCCCATTCCCCTCCTACCCATTCCCCTATTCCCATTCCTCATTCCTCTTCTTCTTCTCCCTCTCCCTTCCCCATTCCTCACATCCACCCCATTTCCCTTTTCCTCTTTCTTCTTTTCTTCTTTGTTCCCTCGTTCCTCCTTCTGAATTTCCCCCTATCCTCCTCTCCTTTCTCTCTCACCCTTCCATTCCCCTGCCTCCTCTCCCTCTTACCCTTTCTCTCCTTCACCCTTCCCTCCCACCCCCCATCCTCCACCCCCACCCCTCCCTCTCACCCACCCCCTCACCCTTATCCCTACCCCTTGCCCTCTCTCCTCCTCACCCTTCCCTCCCATCCCTCACCCTTACCCATACCCATCACCTTCCCCCTCACCTTTACCCTCACCCTTGCCCATCACCCTCCCCCCTCACCCTTACTCCTCACCCTTACCCATCACCCTAACCCCCACCCATCACCCTAACCCTCCCCCTCCCCCCTCACTCTCCCCTCTCACCCTTACCCTCCCCCCTCACCCTTCCTCCTCACCCTTACCCATCACCCTACCTCCTCCCCCTCCACCCTCACCCTTACCCATCCCCCTCCCCCCTCACCCTTACTCATCACCCCCCCCCCTCACCCTTTCCCACACTCCCTTCCCCTTTCACCATCCTCCACCCCCACCCCCACACCCCCTCCCCACCCTTACTCACCATAGCGCCGCAGTTGAGGGCGAAGTGTATCCGAGGCTCAAGTGTCGAGACCTGGTACTT